AAAAAGTCTGTGAAGGAGGAATTGGCAGAATGTGGCGTTTGATTTGGGGTTGAGGAAAAGTGTGGCACAAAGATGAGTGTGACGTTCCAGGCCCCTGAATGTGCCATTTTCAGAGAAAAGTGGGTCAGGAAAAGAAGTGGACCGAGGAGAGGAAGGGTGGGTCAGTTCTTGCTGTATTGATTTTGAATTGCAACAGAGAAATCCACTAGTACATGCTTCCTTGGTGCTGGAAGTTTGGGACCAGCACTCGGGAAGAAAAAAGGAGAATCATAAACAAGGAGGAATATTGGAGACCACAACTAGGGAGGGGAGATGGGAAATTGCACGCATGGAGGCAACGCTGAAGTTACAGGAGTTGTTAAACGTCTGAGAGGAAAAGAGAAGAAAAGGAAGAAACCGAAAGACAGACTCTTGGAGAACGGATGCATTCGTGGAGAGGAGCAAAGGGAGCTGTAAAGAGTTAGCAAAGAGTCAATTAGAGAAGGTTTATAAAAGAGGACTGGGCTGCTGCAGTACCTTGGGAGCCAAGGGGAGAAAAACACTCTGCTAAGGCTGTCAGATGCGGCTGCGAGATGGACACCGAGAAACCGTGACCGGATTTATGGAGTAGGTCTTTGGGGCCCTTGCGAGAGCAGTTTCTGCTGAATGGTAAAGCAGAAGCCAGATTCCAGGGGCGGGGGGAAGGAGACTGAACTACATAAGCCACATACCACGTATCGGAAGGATGAGGGAAAGTAGGAGGGTAGCTCAAGAAAGCAGAAAAGTCACGTGAAGATAATTTTATAAGAGAAGGAGACCCAGAAGAATTTTAAGCACTGAGGAAGGAGCCAGCTAGAGATTTGGAAGGTTTTGAAAGTGGAGCAATTGATGGAATGGGGTTCAGAAGTCAGTAACAGGAGAGAACGTGGGGGCTTTTGCAAAACAGTGGAAAAGGCTGTCGTTTGGTGACCTAAAGTAAGGGACAGTAAAAGTGGAACTCTGTTGCCAGCTGACCTGGTGATAATCCTAATGATCCCAGTGCTTTACCAGCCAAGAAAAGGGCAGGTACAGAACAAGGTGGTTTGTCACCTAGTGGTGAACTGTTTTCAAGTGTCCCGGAAGGAGAATACAGCAACGTGGACAAGCAGTTTCCTGAGATTTTGCTTATTATTAGTGAAGCAATAAAATAGTCAGCCTGCTATTGCTGGGAACCTTCCAGATATTCAGGGCTCTGTTACAAGTGTTGCAAAATATAGAAAAAGAAGCATAAGCCAGGAAACCTGACTTCTCTGTCTAGTTGGTTAAAAAAAAAAAAAAAAGTTATAGAAACAACAGGGAATGATAAAAACCAGGCTAACTGACCTGCAGGAAGCTTAATACCTATCTGTAATGAGTTTGCACTTGAGAGTGCAGCCTTTTATAGAGCTTTTCTAAGCAACTCTATAAAAAATGTCCAAAGTAAGGACAAACAATAAATTGTTTCAGAGAAATGGACCCTGGTGGCCGTGGTGGTGGTGGTGATAATGGTAATAATAATAACAGCTAATATTTATTCAAACTCATTTCGTTTCTGTGTAGTAGGCACTATTCAATCCTTTTTCTTGAATTAATCCTTGCAACAACCCTACAAGGTAGATGGTATTTTCACTACTATTTTATAGGTGAATAAACTGAGGCACAGATAGATTAAGTAACTTGTTCAAGGGAACAGGATAGTAATAAGCGGCTAAGCCAGGATCGGTACCTGGGAATTCTGACTCTAGACCCTGCTGTCTTAATCACTGCCACGCTAACTTCTTAAATATAGATGATGATCAAAGGTGGCAGCGGCAACCTGCAACGATTGGGTAGCTTTGAGCAGATTGTCTGGCCTGAGTCAGTAACAGACATCAGTGGTGCAATCACATCCCAAACTGAAGCAAAGTGTGGTATGTTTGGTGGACAGTCTCCGGACCATTTTTCTCATTCATCGACATGTCCTTGTAATTTCTGAAGCTCAGGCACCAGAAGCAGGTCTCGTCGCACCCTGATTTTTACCTTGGTAATTGCTACACCGTTGATGCAGGGAGAAGGGTGGTGTCTTTGGCGTCGGAGAGCAAGTAAAGGAAAATGACTTGGTTTGGAGCAGACAGTGGAATTGGGGAGGTGGGGCTTGGAGTTAGGGAACAAGAGCATCCTCCAGAGAGATAAAATAAGTCTAATACGCATACACAGATGCAGAGTGTTATTTTTACATAAAAGAGGATATTAATAAAAAGGAAATTAATAAAAAGCAAATTCATTTCAAAGTATTACTAATACTGATTCATAGTACTTTTGTCATCATGAATTTTCTCATATAGGAAATGCTATAAAAATGTTATCACAAAGTGAGATTTTTTTTTTGTAAGTATATAAAGTACTCTTTCATACTTGAAAAAGTTGGAAAAAATGTCGTCTCCAAACTCTTGACAATTAGCTTGCTTATCACTAAAAACAATTTTTGAGCAAACTGTGTGTATTTATTATAAATTATGTACAATGGTACTAATATATTGTGTAATATAAATATTCATAAAAATGGGAAACAAAAATGGTAAGATAAAAAAAGTAGCAGAGAAGTTTTGATTCTTTTTCACCTTTGCCCTGTAGCATCTTGCTCCTCAAGTTGGGGACCAGGGTGGATTCTGGGAAGGAAAAGGAAGGGTTTTTTCCCTTTAGGGCTGACTTTAAAGTTTAATGAGCTACTTTAAATCAAGATCCTAGTTCAGTTTGCTTAAGCCCCATTGGTCACCAGCTCTGCTTTTTTTAATCAGAAGGACCATAGTGTGGGGCATGGTCAGGTGCAGACAAGGAACCATATAATTAATTAGCTGCTGAGCTTAGAGGAAAAGTATTCCCCCTGGGGATTTCACACCCAGCACCGGGCACATGGGGATGGGGGAGGGGCGGGCGTGCAAAGCCTCAGAGTAGCCTTCTCATTTGTTTTCCATTCATGAGCCCAGAAGCAGTTTTGTGCCAGGTGGGATGGTTTTCAATAGCTTGTCCAGTTTCACTTTTCTCCTTCCCACAGACCCAGGCAGGCATCTAAATTTGGTTCCCGTGTTCCTTATTGATACACTCCCAGGGGGCCAGCTGATTGTGGAAAACAACCTGTTTGATAAAAAGGCTCAGTTTCCTACTTTATTGTCTTGGTCTGCTGTCCCTGGCAGTTTTCTGTTGTCACTACCTTCCTCAAGACTTAAAAGACTCCCTCGTACCCAACAGATCAATTCTAACCTCCTCATCTTGCAAATTCATTTCAGAGTATTACTAATACTGATTCATAGCACATGTACGCTCACACACACACACACACACACGTTTATTCTGTCTCCATGGCCTTAGGCTGTGTACCCCAAGTGAGAAGCCATCCACATTCTTCTCCATCAGTCAAAACCTTACTCTTCAAAAACAAGGTGACTCCCACTTACTCAACAGTGTTTGTCCACATGTGGTCCTCAGAACACCTATATCAGTATCACCTAGGATGGTTGTTAAAAGCGTGAACGCTTAGAACTTGCAAACCATAACTACTGGAAGTGAGGCCCAAGAATCTGCATTTTAACAGCGTGCTTGTGATATACAGTGCAATTTGAGGACCACTGTTACCTGGTAACTTAAGACACAGCCCTCTTTTTCGCCACGGAGTCCATTTTTCTCTCTAGTCGAGACCTATAGAACAGGCATCTTCTGAATGTTCGACAGAGACTTCTCGGCTTCTGGGGCACTTTTAGGGTTCTTCCAGAGAGGCTTTATCCTCATGGTTGCAATTCATCAAGGAGGTCCTGCACATCTGGAACACAAGAGGCCTGCGGGCATCAAATGCAAGTCCTTTCAAATCATCCCTCTTGCCATTGAATACACCCGTATACTGTGAAACCAGGCTCCAAGGGCCAAAGGGAGAGCAGACTGCAGGCTAGAGGTGTGAGGTGAGAATTTGGGGCACAGTGGGCCTACTTGGCAAGAGTGAATACGTTTAGCAGCCCCTAGCTGCTGCAGAGAGGAGAGCTTGAAGTGAACATCTGCCATGACTGTCTTCAGTGGAATGGAGAACTCTTAGGGATAATATGTTCTCTGCTGGCCTTTCTCTTTTCTCCAGGGCCTCCTGTTTCCAATCAGGGATCACTAGACATGAGCTAGGCTGGAGGATGAGGGAATAGTTCTGTAAACTGAACATTCCCAAATCTGCTTTGTTAATTGGACAAATAGCCGTTCAGGTAAATGCTCAGAACACCAACCTTTAGTTAGAAAAGGGGACAGAAAAGGGGACACAGGCCACAAGTTCTGTCGAGCTGGGGTTTGGCATTCCCTTTGTCTTCTTACCGAGGGGCCTCACTGCATTTAGAAATTAGATTTTCTATGTGTGTGTGTGCGTGTGTGTGCGACCACTTAGTCTCACCAGCTTCATTGGGGATTGAAAGTATCCCCAGATGGAAGTAATTGTATTCATAAGCATTTGTATTTATAGAATGCCTTTCGCAGAAAGCTCAAAACATAGCATTCTGTGGCATAACCTAGTTTGTTCCTGGACTATCTCCATGTGTTTTGTAAAGGAATAGCTTCTGTAGTTATTATTGTCATTTTACAGTTGGAGGATGGAGAAGCTTTGTGGGTTGAAAAGGTGAACTGGCATCGGTGGCCAAATTGGGAATGGGATGCTCAGCTTCTACTCCTGTCTCTATCAATGATTTCTAAACAGAAGTCCTCAGACTAATGCTGGGATGGTTGCATAAGAAGCACTCGTGGAGTTAATTAAAAATATAGATTTCTGGACCTCATTCCTCTGGAGATTCCAACTCAGTGGGTCTGGGGTGGGGCTCAGGAATCTATATTCTTTACAAGCATTCCAGATCATTCTGATGCACCTCCAGTTTTGGGAACGAACACTACGGACCGTATGACAACCACACTGCCTACCTATCCCCTCCCAGGAATGTCTTTGACTGAAACATGCTTTTTTAATGGTTTTCATCCTGCCACCCACCCTCAAATTTCTCCAGGTCTCCCAGCTCAGGCCAAGAAGCATGCTGAATCTGCCAAGAACACACTGCTGACCTGGAAGAGAAAGACGTCCTCAGACAAGGAGAGAAAGGGAATCCTGGAAGCTCTGGTCATGCTCTACTATACTCTGGGGGTGGCCTGTCTCCTGCAAAACCGATATCCTGTCCTTCCCAGCTGGGTCTGGTGATCAGGGCCAGGGGCCGCACATGCTAGATGGCTCATCCCACTTATGGTAGGAGATAGAACCAGGGCCTTGTAGCTCTGTTCCAACATCCAGCCCTCCACGAGCCTCTGGTCTTCATCTAGAAGGGTATGAATATATGTCCTGTGTCTACTCCTAGGAGCTCTGAATTGAGCCATGGCAGGGATCTATACTGGGACACCATCCCCAGCCAGTTGAAAGTTTTTTGAAGTCTGTCCTGCTCCTCATTGAGTATCCCACAAAATCAGTGTTAGTAAAGGATGTGGGCGATAGTGGTCGTGGTAAGGTAAGAAGAGGGAGAATGGGTGGTTGTTTAAGGCATTGTTTGTCCAACTGGTCTCCACATTGAAATCTCCTGGGGAGCTTCAAGAATTCATGCTGACAGGGTCCCACCCCAGAGATTTTGATTTAGTGGGGCTGGGCTGCAGCTGTTCATTGAGGTTTTTAAAAGCCTCACAGGTGATTATAATATGTAGCCCAAAACCTCTGATTTAATAGACTCTTGAACATTTTAGTTTTCCTGAAACGCTGTTAAGAATACTGCCCGTGAAGCTAGAGGCCAAGCAAAATAGACAAAAGAAATAATTCTCTATATCCCCGGGCCAGGTGGGGGGCGGGGGAGGTGGGAAGGAGGGAGAGGATTGTTATATACGTCTCTCCTCAAAATGCTTGTGAGTTTAGCAGCCTCTTGGTACCATCTCTACTTGATGACTGCTAAAGGTATTTCATGTTCATGAATAATCATGAGCCCCTTTGAGCCAGGGTCCCCAGTCCCCATCTCTACATATCCCCCTCTCTATTGGTCTGATGCTTAACTCACAAAATCTGATGATGTGGCCTTGCTCTGTTGTTCCCTTAGCAGGGGGCTGTTGAAAATGTAGGGAATAGAAGGATATTTGGGAATTAAGGGGATTTTTTCTCCTTGTTTGCCTCTTGCCAAAATCCTGCTTTGCGTGGACTTTCTAAATTACCCAGAAAGTCCCTTTCAGCAGAATTAGTTCTTTTCTTTTACCATTCATAGGAACCACCTTGGGAAAAAAGAATTACTGTCAGGCAGTATACACCTCTAAAGAAAATCTAGGGTAATTTACAGGTTCCGTTCACGTCTCCAAAAGCTCACCACCAGCCCCAGCTTTGGATTCAGGCAACCACAGGAAACCCAAAGCCCTGTTCCTTTTTAAAAAAAAAAAGTCTCCCTTTTTGACAACATGTACATGTGGGAAATAAAGAACAGAGCAAAGTACCCATTTTCAAGTACTGCTCTGTTTTCCTAAGGGGACCTTTCGTTTGCTTATCAATGGCTGTCCCTGGGCAGAGTTTGTGTGCCTGGCATTTTCCTTGACTGGTTCACTGGCAGAGAAGCTTATCTCAACCTGCAGAAGGCAGAGAGGAACATGGAGGAGCTGAAAGAATTACACAAGGGAGGAGTTTGTGGATTACAAGTCTCAGAGAAAGACCTAACAATTGCTTTGGGCAGGTGAGATCTGGGCTTAGAGAAGCTTAGGCTTTTATGAATGATGCCTGGAATTACTTGATTGTTCTGTACTCTCTAAATAAGAGGAGAAAAATGTTCAGAGCAGCAAAAAACAAAACAAAACAAAACAAAAAACACCTAAACACACACACACACACACACACACACACACACACACACACTCACAAACCCCCTTCAAAAAAACACCCAGAGAGTGAAATGATAATAAAAGAGGCTTATATTTACCAAATGCATGTACCTTGGTCTAAGCTTTATGTGCACTGCCCCATTAAATCTTCACAACCACCACTGGGGAAGTTAGTACAATTATTACTTCATTAGAGGACAAGAAAACTGAAGGTCAGATTAAACAAACTGTACAAGGTGACGGGCTTTAAGTGTTGGATCCATGATCTTTTTTATAGTGTCTCTCATGCTTATTCTAAAATTAGACTTTTTTTTTCCTGACTAGCTACCTACTTTTGTCATTGAGTATGACACCTTAAAAGATGAGGAAAGAACACTTAATGAAGACGATTTATTGGAGGCCTATGAAAGCTGTGCACATTATGTGCACTTTTAAGAAAAGTTCTGTTCCATATGGAAACAAAGCCCATGGAATTTGTTTAAGCTAGAGCAAGACGTCACTGTATTGCAGTTGAGTTAGGGATCCTCTGAGAATCAGAATATTTAGATATGAGAGTGGACCCATCAGATTGTCAGAAGAAAAAAAAGAGTAATAAAAGGTTGACTATTCCCTAGATTTTTCAAATATCTTCACATCCTTGAAAGCAATCTGTTCCCAAAACTGTAAGCACTTGGCATAGTTAGGTTGATGACTGAATGGTAAGTAAATGAAATACATGAGTCATGCCTGCCTCCTCTAAACAATCATGAATCTAGAAGTCAGATGAGAAATAACAGGGAGATGTTCAAATGCCCAGAGCTAAATCATGCTGATTTAAGTCCACAGGGCTGTAAATCAGAGTCTGGTTAATGTCTCCTGCTGTCACATGGGTCAGTGGCTGAGTTTTGTGTCTAATGTGAAAGATAGCCTTGTTCCTTTTTCAGAATAAATTCAAGTGTACATTTCGTTCATTCATTCATTCCACAGTATTGAGTGCGTATTTTGTGCATATTCTGAGTGTTGGAATGTTTACGAAGTAAAACTGTATCCTAGATACTGTTCTAATACTTTACATAATTTATTTCATTCATTCCTCATCACAAGCCACAAGGTAGGTCTTTTTATTATTTTCATTTTACAGATAAGAAAATTAAGATGCAAAGATTAAGTAACTCAAGGTGACAGAACTAATAGGTAGAAGAGCCAGCATTGGGTCATCTGAATCCATAGCTCACCTATACCACATTGATATAGCTATGTTTGATATTGACCAAACATCTGGTGAGGGCAAATTCCTTGTCTCATTTAAAAGGTGGGGAAAATAAGACAAGATTGTTCAGGCCAGACAACTTGGATCATAGCTCCCAACAAGCTCTTAATGAGAGGCATTATGCTCTTAATGAGGCATTTTGTGCTTTTATGATCAAGGGAACTACTGGTCCAACTGATCAAAAAAAATTTTTTGTAAAGAATTATCAGATAACATGCTAGTGCTCTTTTGATTGATAAACCTTCCTGTTTAAAATAAATTGTCATTATTGCAGAATGCCTTCTATGAAATAATTTTATATACACATTTTTAACTCGGGAATACAAAGATGTGGGCAAGGGGAGAGGGGGAGGTAATATTGATTGTGTATTATATGTTAGGTAACTTTACATACAACTTTTAATCACAATGACCTTGTTAATTTAGGTGTTCTTAACCCTGTTTTATTTGGGAGGAAATATGGGCTCCTGGAATTTGACCATTAAAGCTAATAACCATGAGAACCAACTTTGAACTTCCCATGTTTTCATTGTGACTTGCTGTCTCTAGAAAGATAAATCTTAATGAAATACTGCTTTATTCTCCTTCGAAAAATTATAGTCCCCATTTTGTTTTGGAAAATTCGAAAATCAGATACGAAGGAGAAAATAAAATTCAATTGTAATATCACCACCCATACATAACTGCTATGAATGTATTACATATATGTATGTCAGAATCATATTTTAAGTACAGTTTTGTAATTTTTTTAACTTAGCACATTTTGAATTTCTCCCCCTATAAGTTAGTCTCAAAAGAAAACATGATTTTTAATATCTGAAGTATTTTACTGTATAACGTGCCATAATTTATTTAACCTCCCTCTTTTGGTGGGGGGGATATTTACATTGTTTACTTCATCCTCTCATTTTTAACTAAGGAGAAATAAACTAAAAAAAAAAAAAAAAAAGCAAACACTTTCCTAGGCTTTAAAGGAAGGGAACCAGAGGTAATAAAATTTTATTTTGATTTTAGAAAGTTTATAGGTAAATTATCCCATCTTGTAAATTGCTGGAAGCCATTTTTTTCCATTTGCTTTTTTATAAAATTAGACTGTAGCGTGACATATTAATGGGTTTGATGAATGGTAGTCACTGGAATTTAGTGGGTAAAATGCAGGTTAATTGGAGTTTGTTTACAGCAGGCTAGATTTTGAGCCAACAACTGAGACGATTGGCTTATGGAAGCCAAATTGTTTAGTTTTTAGAACCAGTTCCTTTTGTGTCTGTAAAACACGTGGCCTCTCTGTGACTTTCCATCTTCGCTCCTTTTCTTGTAGAGCCTCCTTGGCCATCCAGAGGTTGAATCTAGCTCTGGCATACTTTGAAAAGGCAATCAACAGCATCATTGCTGCCAAGGGTGCTGGAACGTCGGATCTGGTCCCTCTATACACAGAAGTTGCTCAGATTGAGCAGCTGAGGAGAAACCACCACCAGGCCATCCAGTACTTGCAGCAGGTTGGTGGGTTGGCTGGCGCCCCAGCCAGGTGGCATCATTTGGCTCCAGGCCCAGTTCCCAGAGCCAGGGAAGCTTGGCTTCTCAGAATAACAAGGGGCTGGGACTGATAGATATTTTAACCCCAACTTCCCTCCAGATCCACACGAGAGCCTTTCCTCAACCTTAAGTGACCCCGAATGGAACGCTGACTCGGTGGCGTTTCTACTCTCGGGCTTCCTCTCATCTCGGTCAGTGCTGGGAAGAGGTAGCCTAGCGGGTCTGCTTCAGGGTAAAAAGCCATGAGGACAACTGAACTTAACTGTTTAAGAAACGTAATGGGCTTTTTAGGTGAAAAGTCATGATATTTTGTTACTGTTATTTGTCCTCTAAGCTTGTCTAGCTGGTTGTATTTCCAAGTCTAAGGTTAAACTAACAAAAAGATGCCTCACTTGGAGGTAACTAATTTGACAACTGCCCAGGGGCAAACAAAACATAAGGAGGAATGTTAAGTCTATCATAATGAAAACAGTTTAGGACACTTTTAAGTATCATGTACTTGAAACGCCTCTTGAAACTGCAAGTTAAATTCACCTTCTGTCTCCTCAAGATGAGAACCCTGCTTGTGACTTCAGGTATTTCCTGTAGCCAAAAATAGATCAAAGTATTGAATTCCTTATATCATAGAAAGATGGAATGTAACCCACCAGTATATGTGAAAACAGTTCGAACTGAAGAAAAGGCATTGCAGACAATTCGAAAATCCAAGGTTATTAACATCACTCAATGGATGTTAGCGAAAGCTGCTTTCAAGGCAGGGAGTCTACTCCTTACAGAGAAAGCCAGTCCAGTTTTGTGTCCAAGACTTTTTAAAAGCAGTGGCCGATCAGAATGGATAAAACAATAAATAATCGGTATTTCTGAATAACAACAAAAAATGATAGTTCAGATTTATGGAATGCTTTTGCTATGTTCACTTGGGGATGTACTCATTTAATCCCTGTGAATAACGTTATGAAGTAGGCACCATTATTATTTTATCTAATTTTAAGGATGCAGAAACTGAAGCACAAAGAGTTATAGCTAATTTAGCTGCAGTTGAATAGCTAACAAGTGGTAGAGTAGGGATTTAAACTCAGAAAATTTGACCCCAGAGCCTGTACTCTTAACTCTGTGCTGTCTTAGCTCCAAAATGTCTGATAATCTCTGATGCTCCTTGAAATACCCTGTGGTGTTTGGCGTGTGAAATACGAAGCACAGCTGGTTCTTTTCTTGCCAGTGGGTGTGTGGACTAGATGGTTTCTCTCTTCTTCCTCATTCCAGAGTGTCGCTGCTTCCATTTTAGTACAAATAATAATATCTACACTTCTGTAGTGCTTATTACATTCCTGGTAGTATTCTAAACACTTAACACGTATTAATTCATTTAATCTTTATAACCACTGTGATTGACACATACTATTTTTGCCATCCCTGTTTTATATTTGAAGAAGTTAGTGGCTTGCTTTGTGTTACAGTAAGTTCCCATCCCAGCTAGGATGGGAACCCAGGCAGTATGGCTCTAGAATCCACACTTTATTAACTTTCTTTGATATTGAACCTTTGAAAGGCTAAGCTAAAGTTTTGATTTTATTTTTGCCATGAAACCTTATAAAAGATAATAATAGCTAATGTTTATTGAGATCTTACCATGTGATGTGTACTATGCCCAGTGTTTTGTGTGCACCA